AACTTTCGTCCATACAACCCTACATTGCGGGCGATGTTACAAGTTATTGATAAAAACCAAACGCGCCATAGATTGTCATGAGTGCCGCACCACTATAATAGATTTGCACGGACGTACCGAACATTTGACTTATCAGATTTTATGCGAGGCGGTTATTCCTCGTGGAACACGTTAAGCAATACACGATACGTACTTTGCTAAAAGATATAATGCTATTATATCTAAGAGTATACAAATAACCTACATATTATACTTTTAAATATGCTTATCAAATATTTTGCGTTATATACATATATTCAGCTTTATAAATTACCAATCGATTTTCTTACAGTGTACTGTTTAGAGGGAACCGTCCTATTATTAAGCACATTTGTATTAGTGCTAGGACTACTCCGAATATTAAAAGAGTAACCTCTATTTTGCGATTGTAATAAACATTAGCGATCGACCTTACTATATTACTAACCTCTCAGAAATATTAACCATACTAATACTTATTATATGTACATGGTGAAGGGATTGAAATAAAATAATAAATTTTATATAATTAACATATGATGCTTAATGAGCACGGTGAAGGACCCTAATTTCCTTAGAATAAGTACTTTAAAAATTAAATCGTAGCAATCAGTAGAATGTAATCTTAATTCTCTATTAATAATTTTAACTTTAATTTATATACATGCATAGAAAAGGGGAAAGAGTACGCTGACACACGCATATAATAGAAAATAGAAAAACACATATATTTAATCAACCTTAAAATACAAGTAACTTAAATGCTTTACTAATTGTAAGATTACTATTATAACGTATTCATATTCACACTCGTAAAACAAGCCCATCCAGGATAATTTCGTACCTATTCCTTACCTGAAATAAAATGAAAGAAAATACAATAATATTCTCATTCATATATATATATATTCATAAGAATATAAAATAAGATTGAAATACTTATCCTTATTAATTCAGTCTCAGCTCACTATTACCTCTTATCACCTATAACAATAACGAAATATATTAATCACTACACTCTTATAAGATAAAAACCGTTATATATATATAATCAATAAATAATTATCCTTACAGAGCTAAGCAAAATGTCAACGACAAGCCTTATGCTAGAAGTGAAAAGACTACGTAATTTTGCTTATCGCCTGGATTTAGACGAAGCTAAGGAAAGAACACGCGGCAAATACTTGAATATATTTAAACAAAAATAAAAAAAAAAATAAAAAAAGGGGAGAAACTAAACTTATATGAATAAATGAAGTAACGATAAAAATATAGCATTAACTTACTTTTAATTTATCCTTATCATATCCGTCCAACGAAATCACGGTGACAGTATAGATAACCAGCCCTATAATAAAATAAGAATAACCTATATTAATAAATATCCGAATAAGTAACATAAGGAATAAACATTGAAAACAAATATGCGCGTCTATATATGTATGCAAGTACAAATATACACGTGTATATGCCCAATAAAATAAATAAAAAAAAGAGAGAGAAGAGAAGAAGAAAAAATATATTACTAATCAAATCTATAGAACTACTTAAGCACATTGCTAAACAAATGTTTTGTCAATGGAACTATTACCTCGATTTAGATAAATCCAACTGCAGCAACATAGCTCTTACACTGCCAAGCACATTTTAGAATCCTGTAATAAAAATCACATAAATAATTAATCATCTATAAATATAATCATACTCTATACGACATAACCATAAAATTATACTTACTGATAAAAGTTCGGAGACCGAACTTCCCTAAGGAGGGAGATGTCACGTCTGACGGTATAATCACCGCTATATTCCACCCGCATAAATTTTTCGATTTTCTAGAAGTCCCCAGCATCTGAAAACAATATTATATATAACAATCAATCTTTAAATTAACTGTCACAACAAACACTCAGCTGATGCGAACACGCGTTCTTAAAGTAGTAGACATAAGCCTAGAGAACATGGCTGCCTTAAGGTACCTTTTCAAGCTTAAGCCCCATTTTCATGAATCACACTATAAACTTTTGGACAATTGCTTGTTAAAATTCCCCAGAATTACTAAAATTGATCGTAAATGAATATTACAAGCTTTATGAGATCTTTTATGCAATATAAATTCAATTCAACACACAAATAAATACATGTTCCATAAGAATAAACTCAGAAAATTAAAATAAAATATAAATAAATTAATTAAAAGTAGATTATTCATAAGAACATAACCTTTTATGCCTAAAGAACATTATCACGATAAAATAATAATTATCTCATTAACATTTTTTCAAACATGATTGTTATAAACAATTAAATTATATTATTAACAGACCTAGTTAATGTGATTACTGGAACTATCACAAAAAGTCAAATAACTTTTGATTATAAACCATTATTGTATCTTTTAAAATAAACTAATTAACAATAAAATTTATCATAAAAATATTATTAAAGATGATAAATAAAATCACCGCAGACACTCAGCAGAGCATGTCAAGTAACCTCACAAAACCCCCACATCATATCTCTTCTTAATCCCGAGATATAATTAAAAAGTATGGAAATCCATAAAACACAAAAATTTTAAACAACCTAAAATAATGCCTTTAATTATCTGAACACAACAAAAGAAACCCCATCTTTTTATCTCTTACCGTTCTCGAGTTATAAATTATTAAAGTTTCACATCCGCCATTTTGAATTTCCTACCCTTTAGACTTACAAAGACCAAATCACTTTTACATTAATATTTTAGTCTTTTATACATTTTAAAGCTGAAAAATTTCATTTCTAAACAAAAATTTTGACACTTAATTATTATGATAAAAATGGAATCTCTCATACTCCTAAACACCAGTAACGTTAACGCCAATTTTTTATTTAAATTAATTAAACTAATAAATGAGATTTAACGAGATTTATTAAATTTCTCTTCATTTGCCCTTCTTTGACGCTCCGAGAAGCCCTCTATTTTCACCAGGGGCGCGCCCTAGCGAAAAACGAAGCACGTAAGAAGCGGAAATTGAGACATTGAAGCGTTGAACTGTTTACGAAAACCCATACGAATTTTGACCGCGCACATAAACTCTGCATTAGTACACCTACGAAAAATGATAATAACTTTAATTTCTGCAATTGTTTATTTACGAAATATTTATAACAATAAAATAAAGTGGCTCATAAAAAAAATTATTTCATTGTAGAATTAAACCCGTACGAATAAGGAGAGTTTAACAATATCAATATGTAAATTAAAAAGTACCAATTTATTTAATTAATAATTAGTTATTAACAAATACATATATTAACAATAAAATTTTCCAATGCTATATTATACTTTAGTAAAAGTTCTACAATAAATATCATACTTTTTTATATCAAAAGAAAGATAAAGATTATTGAAGATTATTGAATTACCTATCTTCGACGGATCCAAGGAGCCATAATCTACATCGCCGACCAACAGCTAATTATCCTGGGGTTTTACCTCCTTAACTGCAAGAAAAAGAACCCGTCAACGGAGACGTTCTGCCGGATCGAGCCACCTCGCATCACCCAGGACGTCACAGGAGCCAACGCACTGCGGGCTTTCGGGGGTCCCCCACCTCCGACAGTGAGGGCACCGCAGGGGGCGAACGCCACT